GGTAGAGACTGGGGTTTACTATGGAATTATTTAAAAGATGCACTATATTATAGAAATTTACTTGTCAGAGAATTTAATTATTTATAGGAATTCATTTTATTTATTTTTCACTCTGTGCTTTCTTTCTTTTTCTTTTTATTGTAGTAATGAAAAATAAATAAAAATAAATGACTTTTAAAAAAATTTATTGCAACTCTGCTGACGGATTACTATCCAAGAAAAAAAAATCGCTGAGATGTTTTGTTTTTTATTTTGTAAACAGATTTATTGCTTTATTAATGAACATTTTTATTTTTATTATTATTTGATCTGACAACCCCCTGCGATATATAGGAACTAAATGCTGAATCATTACAGCGAGAACTTATCATTTTAAATATTGAATATTGCTACTCTGCATTTCACAATTTCTCCCAATTGAGTTTTCCCAGCTGTCAATTCCATTTAAATCTAATATACAAATTATAAATAATTAAATGATTAATTAATTATAGGCTTATTTCATTAACTTTATTTTTATCCAAAATAGTAGAGGGATGTATTATAAAGAGGCTTATATTTGTGAGAGTAATGTTTTGCATTTCAAATATGCAGTATGGATGGCAAAAAGGTGTTTGAATTTCTCATGTTTTGTTTTATGAAAATTCAGATAACTCTAATTATATAATTGGGCTTCTAATTCAAGTCAATTAAATTTAATTTAAAAGATAAAGGCAGGACTTATTTTTGACTGGTACTAAATTTAAAAAAAACAAGTTAACATTGAATTAAACTACTTTTTTAAACTTAAACAACGAAAAAGCGGTATATTTAATGATTCGCCCAGTGTCGTTATCAAAGTAGATAACGTTTTATTTTCGCAAGATTTGCTTATCTGAACCGCCTGCAGTGAACCAGTGATGTATGCCAAGCAAAGATGGAAAACTAGAATCTTGTGAGTTATTAATTTAAATAAAAAATTAATTAACTCGTTTTTTGAGCAATAAAAATCTTGTTATTATTATTGAACGTTTAACACATTGGATATTTTTTATCGATCATTTCTACATATTGTAACTCTATCATTTCTATCATTTTCTTTTTAATTTCTAATTTTTCCTCTTAGGAAATCGATAGTATAAACGAACCGAAACAAATAGCTGCGATAATAAGGTTAAAAAAACATTAGTAATTATTTCAATTAATTATTCTTTTTATGTAAGGTCTTGGTTGAAATGAAAAAGTTAGGGTCACGACGGCTCGGACTGACTGAAGTCACGATAGCTCAAGTGGGTAAGAGCAGAGGCGTATTGAGTCAAAGGTCGTGAGTTCGAATCCCGCTCGTGACACTAACTTTTTCATTTCAACCAAGACTTTACATAAAAAGAATATTTAATTAAAAGAAGTAATTTAGTCAATGGACCATTAAACATAATGAATTAGTAATTATTTTATCTGACATTTACAATATTGTGAAGAACTTAGTAAGCAATAAACACATTAAAATTCAGTATCACTTTTCACGTTTAGTGTCTGTACTTTTGCTTAGTTTATTTAAAAGTAACGTTAAAAAATAATAATGATTTAATAATATTCACTTTAATTATTAATTTTTGTTTAGGAAAAAAATTCTAAGGATAATTTTTGACGTAGAAATATACCGCCCACCAAATTTTTACATAAAACTGTATTGTAGTACTCTTTCCCTTTCACTCTCTTCTTCTCTCTTTCAGTTTGTCTGCCTCTCTCTCTCTCTCTCTCTCTCTCTCTCNCACACACACACACACACACACACACACACACACACACACACACACACACACACACACACACACACACACACACACACACACACACACACACACACACACACACCGTGATTATCACACTCTTTCCCGCTTCCTTTTTCTCTCTCCCTTCTTTGCGTTGTCGGTATGTCCATCTTACTCCTTCACTTTCTCTCCCTCTTTCTCACTAGTTTTGTATATTTTTGTACCATACACTTGCTCTTTCTCTTTCGCTCTTCCTATTTGTTTATGTCACTAATTTTCTCTCTCTCTCTCTCTTTTTCTCTCTATCCCTCTTGTTCCCTCTCTTTTTCTCACTTTCTACATTTCTATGACATTAATTTCTTCTCTCCTTCTCCTTCTCATCCTTGCTATCTAACCTTCTCTCTCTCTCTCTCTCTCTCTCCCTCTGTGTCATCACCTTTTTCCCTTTCTCTCTTTTTCTCTCTCTCTCTTTCTCTGTTATACCCTCTTTCCCTTCTTCTCTCATCTCTCTCTACCTCTCCCTCTGTGTTTTCACCTCTTTCCCACTCTCTCTCTCTCTCTCTTTCACTGTTTCTTTCTCTCTCTCTCTTTCTCTGTCTCTTAGAGCATCTGCCTATCACACGCTTAGACACACACACTCTTTATCTCTCTTTCTTTCTGAACCACAGTAAAGTAACTTAGTAAATTATAGTAAAAAGTAAATTTTTTACTTTGCGTCTGTTCCTTTTTCTCTGGATATTTATCTACCTGTCTCTCCTTCCAACTTTTTTCTCTCAGCCTGTCAACTACCCTCTTACCATTTCTCTGCCTTCCTGTATGTCGGTCTAGTCTGTGTATGACATTCTTTCTTTTCTATCTCTCACTCTTTCTACATCTTTTTTCTCTCTTTCCCATGCAATCCTACAATAATATGTCCTTCTGGCTGTTCCACTCTGCTAATTCTTCTCTTTCTACTTTTCTGTGTCGCTGTTAGATTAATTTAAGGAATTAATAATTTGGATAACAATCAGTGTTACTTACGGCGAAACAAATAATACCATCACAAATATTTATTATAATTGGTTTGAACAATATTAAGTACCTCTAGCAATTTGAACTTTGTAGCATTTGTGCAGAAGAAGCACGGATGGACATTGGCGTCTGTAGTGAGTGTACGCAAATTTCAATCTTGGTCCGTGTACTCTCGCTGCATTGCCCTGCTCTCTTAAAGTAATGCAACAATGATTATAAATATTCAATTTTTGAGTAAAAGAGGTAAACCTTTATGCTTAATTATGTCTGTCGTAATTAGTAACTGTGTGAAATTTTATTTTTCGGTTGGTGCAGCTTTTTGGTTAGTCTAACGTAAATTTATTTGACATAGAAATTGAAAACAAAGCAACAAATGTTTAATTGAAGCTAAACAGGGAAAGTTTTATAATAAATATATCATTAAGCAATTGTTCCAGCTTATAAGGGATTCTGTGTCGGAGTGATTTCCACAAGTTCCCCCTCAAGGGAGTGGTCGGCATGATGACACATCATGTCGGTCATTGTGGGTTGAACGCGTGCCAAACCCCTTTACAATGCCCCTTTCCTAAAACCGCAGCAGTTTCGCTTGAAAATAACCTATTGCGTTTGGCCGAGCGCAGTTTGCAATTCTGCAGCCGATGAAAAGCCTTGTTCGACTTTTCCAGTCTACCCGGTGGGTCAGTCGTATTAATGAAATTATCTCCCATATTGTTCAAAACCTCCAATTTATATTCAAAAGTTTGACCAATTGATATAAAAGATTAATTAATTAATTAATTACACAATTAAAAATGGAATTGTGCAACATCCTCTAAATAGAAATGAAATATAGAGCGGAAACACTTTGAAGTTTGAACCAAACGTTCCCACACGATAACGAAGTAATTAATTTTAATTAATATTTTGCCACTAACAACTGATACGAACTTGATAACCTTTATGGACCACTGTAGAAAATGATGTACAAAAATGTTACTTTTTAAATTAATTCGTATTTATTTCAAAGGCTATTTCTTCTAATTCTGTGTTAAGGTGTTAATTGAGATTAGTTTAGATGATTTACTTGTTAACTATTATTACCAAAGTACATAAAATATTTAAGTTATCGAAAATGAAGGTTGGTCGTCTAAGATGATAATTCGGCGTTTCGTCATGTTGAATGGTTTGTCTGAACGTTATTTTGTCAATCGTGTCCTTTTTCTCCGTCCATAATTTTAAATATTGCTTAAGTTTGCTTGTTTTTAGATTTTAATTTAGATTTAAGTACAAAAAATGGAATAATAATTGACGTTGCGGTATTCAAGCAGAATGTGCTTATCGTATTTGAGTGTGTTAAAGTTGAGATATTTCGCGACGAATGTGTGCTAATTTGGAACTCATAGCACACACGACGCAAGCACATCCTGGGATCTGTTTGCCATCGACAAATCTCCTTCAGAAGAATGAGAAAGAAAGAAAAAAAAGATTGTTAAAGTTGAGAGTTATAAAATTAATTCGTATTTATTTCAAAANCTTTGATTGTTAGTCTTCAATTTAGATTTAAGTACAAAATATAACGAAAAATAATTGACGCGGGATATTGATGCAAATGTTCATATTAAGTGTGTTTAAGTTGAGATATTTTGTGATGAAAGAGTGTTTTTTTTCTTTTTGAACTTTCATAATTTTAAATAACGTTAACTCTTTGATTGTTAATCTTTAATTTATATTCAAGTACAAAATATAACGAAAAATAATTGACGTGGGATGTTTAAGAAAAATGTGCATATTTATGTGTGCTAAAGTTGAGATATTTTGTGATGAAAGACTGTTTCTTTTCTTTTTGAACTTTCATAATTTTAATTAATATTAACTCTTTGATTGTTAGTCTTCAATTTATATTCAAGTACAAAATATAAGGAAAAATAATTGACGTGGGATATTCAAGGAAAATGTGCATTTTTATGTGTGTTAAAGTTGAGATATTTTGTGATGAAAGAGTGTTTCTTTTCTTTCTGAACGTTCATAATTTTAAATATTGTTATCTCTTTGATTGTTAGTTTTTGATTTAGATTAAACTACCCAGACCGTCTACTAACAGAACTACCGGTGTTTGCCCAGACCATCCGAGTAAATTTAGTTAGGGTTTTTTAAAACAAAAGTATACTTTTTCTAAAAGGCCGGGTATGCAAATTCAGGTGTGTTGAGATTTTGAATGTATGTCACATTCGAGCTTATCAGTTGATTGTTTGTTTACAGGATGAGCAAACAGGTGCGCGTGTGGGGACTGCGAACACTGAGTCGGCTGTGGCTTCTAGCAGGCTCACTAAGCATCCTCTCCCTTCTCCTTCTCGGTCGATGTGGAATTCAGGAGACAAACACATCAACTGGTAAGAAAAATACATACGGTGTTATTTTTCCCCCCAACGAAAAAATATATTTATTATTTATATCTTAGACTTTGAGTAAATACAGGAGGGACGTCCAAAACTCCGGACCACTGCGGTCCGGCCTTCGACGCTAAAAATACAATAAAAAACATTAAAACAAAATGGCAGCGTCGGTTGGCCGGATCAGCAGAGCAGCTCTCGCGTATCTAAAACACTATCATGTGAGCAAAAGAGTCATCCAATCCTGATTAAGAATAGGCCATTCCAGGTTGTGATATTGTCACTTACGTTTTGGTCAAAGCTCACTCGATGCATGCAGAGAAAGGTTACTCAATTTTTCCCATCTAATTGCATGGTTGGCTCCTTATAGAGAGCGCTTAGGTACACGACTAGATGAATTGTGCATGAACACGGCAGCGAGTATCTGGGTTCTTGTGATTCTTGGAGGACACGGGTTCTTTTATCGTATATAATAATGATTTTGTGTTCCTAGCGTTGAGAGTGAATGTATTTATTAGTGTGAATGTATAGTATGAGAAGGACGATTGTGGAATATTGAACACCCCATCGACCCTCAATTAGGTTAGCCAGGTGTAAAGGGTGATGGAAGGTTATCGAGTACTTCCCTGAGTGAATGTTGTGTAATAGGAAGAAATTTATTTAAGAGGAGAGAGTATGTTTGGATTGAGAGAATGATTAGTTGGGCACTTCCCTTCAATAACATGAGCACCGTTTTTTCCGGGGCCAGTTGCAATTTAGTTCTCTGACACCAGTTTTCCAGCATGGTCACGGCGAGTGCTCCCTTTTGCTCTATTTGGCCTTTCGTGCACATTACGCATCCCATTTCCTTTTCTGCTTAAAATCCTAGGATTAGTCTTTGACTAAAACCTTTTCTGGCATCCTCACATTTCCCACGTTTCCCGCCATTGTATCTCCTCCCGCAGCCTATTTCGTCAGACCTGGTTTCTCTTACCTTTCTCCACCCGCAAACACCTTGTATCTTCCCTTATTTCTTCCCCTTCTTCGATTACAGCTGTGTGGCATACCGTGGTCTCTCGGTCCATGGGGGTCCCGGGTGTCGGGGTTGTATTCCCAACTTTTCTGGCTCTACCCCTCCTTCCGTGCTATTTCCTAGGTTGCTTTCTTTTCCAGTCCATCCACAGTCGTCGTCCTCCTTACATCACCAATCCCTCCAAATCAACTCCTCACAGCACACTCGTAATACCCGCTCATCCCCAATTGACCTTATCCTTCCACAACATACAACCCATACCTTTCTGATCCCCTAAACTTTGGAACTTCCTTCCCATTCCTATTCGTCACGCTGCCTCCTTTTCCTCTTTTAAATCCCGCCTATAATCACCCCCTCTCCATCCAAACCTTCCAAACAGAGACCTTACATTAGTATTTGATGTTTTTGTGTAGTAATGTTATTTTTTATGGCTTGCTTTACTTGTATACATTGTGCCAAGATTTTTATCTCATTTTATTTTTAATTTCATAGAAGGAACTTCCTTTATTTATTTCATGTATATTACTCTTAGGGGACAGGAGTCTCAGAATAAAGTTATTTTTCTTCTTCTTATATAAATCAACATATACAGGAAAGATACATGGAATCCTATTGAATCTTTATCTAAGAAGAAATCGGCCTGTTGGATAAGATGATTGCGTACCTAACGGCCAAGTTGTTAGGTGAAGTTGCTAAGTCTCAACTTGGTGTAATTTTCATTTTACTCTCGCTGACTCTACTAGTTATAACTTTCTCCCATTTAACCTCAGTCCGCTCTTCAGGAGTAAACACATTAACGTGTGTTTCCTCCTTCCATAGGGGTTTGAGAGACAAGAGGCTAGGCGAGGATATAAGAGGCCTCTAGAACCCACTTTCCTTAACTTTAACGTTTTGTGGAAGTGCTTTAAGTTGAGAGGAAATATAACATCGCGTAATTACTCTTAATCGGGCCTACTATGTTTGAATGTTTATTAAGTTTTAATATTTGAAGGGAATGTCAGAGGGGTACCCGAAACTCCAGGCATAGTCAAATAATCTCGTTTTTTGAATAAAATTTACGAGGACAGGATTCGTAAAATTTGCATTTCTTCGCCGGCATAGATGTCAAGTTGTCCCGAGGTGTATAAATAAGTCATTATACTCACGGGATTAGCGAGAAAGTAGCTGGGAGGTGTTCCCAAGCCGGCCTAAAACGGCCCTCCGACTGTCAAGGCAAAAAGCGACAACAGGGTCGGCAACGCTCGGAGCACATTGAATATTTAATTCCCTTTTTCTTTATTTACAATTTCAATTTTCAGAAAGAATACCTCAGAAGAATTGCTTTTGTAGACACAGTTTTATTACCAGTTGCGGGAAACGCGACAAAACGTAACTGACAGAATTTTATGAATTTAATTAAACAGAAAGGGGCGTCGGTGGGCACAACGGTTCACCTGTTGACACGGCACTCATCACTGTGAGGTTAAGGTCCCGGGTTCGAATCCAGCGGCCCTGCATCGAACCCAAAATACTTATATGTGGACCCCGAAGGTTCATATAACCTCTTATTTGAAACTTAAAAAAATGAGGTTATTGTAGAATATACCCTTTAGGGTGTTTGTTCGGATGCCAGTGGAGACCATCTATATTTTTGTGATATTTACTCATGAGTTTACTATGTGTGGCACCTCTAGAGTTTGTCCATTTCTCTCTCTCCCTCTTTTATTATTTATTTATTTTTATTTTTTTTGCAGTCGTTTTCTGAGATGGATGAGTCTATATTTGATCTTGTTACCCTAATTGTAGGTTCTGGGCCTCTAGTCTTGTAGATCCTTTTGTCAGTTTGTCTGCTTGTTTTTTACCCAATTCTTTGTGTCCTGATATCGATGATATTGTTTTTGTTTTCCCAGGTTTTAGAGATTTTGGGTGAATGAAAAAAAATTAAACAGAAATTTAGGCAAATTTTGAAAGTTTTTAATTAAATTATTCGACAATTAATAATAAAAATAACGCGACATTATGTTCATTGAAAAATAGAAAATAATAAAAAATTATTTTATCTGAAACTTCTGGCCAAAGTTAATCAATTCGCAGTCGACTCCAATTTAGTAATTGATTTAATCGTTTAAAAATATATCTATTTTTTTAATTTTACCCCTGTTCTCGTTTTATTGTTTTGAGCCTGATATGAAGAAACGTTTTGAAACTTTTACGGGGATTTTTCAATTTAACGTTATAAATCATAAAATCATAAGGCTATCATCATGGGAGACTCATCCTGGCTCCCAATTGACACAAATTCGTCGGAATAAATTGTAAAAAAAATTTCCAGGATTTTTTAAGTTTTAGGGGCGAAAAGTTATGATGTTTTATAGCGGTAATCAAGTCTCTTTTTTTATCTTATTGCTAGCCTCTCTGTACCTCAAGTTCTCATCTTTGGTGGATAACACAACACAAATAATAAATACACAGAATCAACACCTCGAAATAAATACACAGAAACACATAGACAATGATAGAAAAAAAATTGTAGTCTGGTTAGTAATTACACTATGCCAGAGTGCTCGATGTTCCACGGGGTAATTGGGGATAAACCCTATAATTCACTCTACTAAATACATTCACACACCAGACTACATTCAACTACCCCAGAGTATTGATATTCCTCGGGGGAATTATAGGCTCACTACTACGAATTATTCATATTTTTTGCGGTAATTGGAGATAGCACTAGATAGTAGAGTACTCTAGAGATGGAGTAATAGATATTCCTTGGGGGTTATTGAAGATAAACCCTACCATTCACGCTAATAAATTACATTCACCCACCAGACTACATTCACACTACTCCAGAGTATTCGATATCCCTCGAGGCAATCGGGAATAAACCCTACAATTCACTCTAATAAATACATTCACACTTCAGACTACATTCAACTACCCCAGAATATTGATATTCCTCGAGGCAATTATAGGTTCACTACTACGAATTATTCATATTTTGTGCGGTAATTGGAGATAGCACTAGATAGTAGAGTACTCGAGAGATAGAGTAATAGATATTCCTTGGGGGTTATTGAAGATAAACCCTACCATTCACGCTAATTACATTCACACATCAGACTTCATTCACACTACCCCAAAGTATTCGATATTCCTCGAGGCAATTGGGGATAAATCCTACTATTCACGCTAATAGATTACATTCACACTACCCCAGAGTACTCGATGTTTCAAGGGGGAAATAAGGATAAACCCTACTATTCACGCTAATAGATTAAATTCACACATCAGACTACATTCAACTACCTCAGAGTATTGATATTCCTCGGAGCGATTATAGGTCACTACTCCAAAGTATTCATATTTTGTGTGGTAATTGTAGATAGCACTAGATAATAGAGTACTAGATAGTAGAGTACTCTAGAGATAGAGTACTAGATATTCCTTGGTGGTAATTAACCAAATAGAGATAAAACCCGACATTCACGACAATAAATTACATGCACACCCGAAATAGAACTTGTTGACCTTTTCATGTAGCTTGAGATTTATATATATATATATTCTATTCTGAAGCCCTCTCAGACTCACTGAGTAAGTCATTCTCTTTGTCACAAAATATTCACGGTGAGGTAGAATCACAGAACAAATTTTGTTCCATTGGGTCTAAACAAGAAATATATAGTTAGCAACATAACTAGGACTAAGCTCAGAAAAGCGGTAGGACCTGTCACTCGCATCTGAGAAAAAATGGGCGTATTCAATGATGATCTCATTTGTAGATGATGCACTGAGGAGGAAGAAACATCCAAATCGTCTGCAACAGTGAAGTAACTGCTCAATCGAGACATAACCTGGTATACAAAGAAAACCGAGGGAAAGGAATTATGAAGGGAGTGAATAGCATACTTATCAATTGGACTGAACTAAGGAACTAGGAAAGTACAATATGCCAGAAGGCTACAATTTTTGGAAAATTTCCTAGTCTCTTTTATCATCGTCATCA